TGAGGAATTACCTCACTTTATCTGAAAATAGTACCCATCTTTTGAATGTCGTAAGGATTAAATGAGTAAATATGTAAAAAGTATTTAGAACAGTGCCTGGCACAATCAGTAATAGTTAATTATTATTATTATTATTATTATTATTATTATTATTATTATTATTACATGAGGAGGCTTAGCCAGCAGAAAAAGGGGGAGGGAGCATTTTTACAGCACCTTGTACAGGGCACGGCCTGGACAGTGCACCCACCTGGCTTGGTACAGAAGGGTCACCTGCATTAGGGAGGTGTGACCTGGCACTTATCCAGGTGAACAGGCCACTGGGTGGGGTCCAGAATCTCAAACCATGCTGTTTGCTCACAAGGCATAAGGCTTCTAGGCCTCTGGCAAAAAATGAGGGAGGGAAGAGGGGGGCTCCTACTGCTCTGAGGCCGAACAACTCCCTCTTGCTCCTAGGGTTCTTTCCCCAAGCCTGGGAAAATACCACGTGCACTCTCTCTTGGCTTTGTAATTTTCCAGCTGACCTGGAATTCCCCCTGACTCCTGCCCTCCTTTGTGGGGCAGTGGGGACACCAGCTCAGGGACCCAGTCTCTCTGTCAGCCACAAATGGGTATGCCAAAGGCTTTGGAAAGCTACTGGGAACCTGGAGCATCACCTGCTGGAGGGGTAAGTGCTTCCTAGTTTTCAAGTTAAACTTAAGTGACTCAAAAGAGATTTTTTTTTTTTTTTTGGTAAAAATTGAGTTTTAGAGAGAGAGGAAGGAAGGGAGAGGGAAAGAGGAACATGCATGTCCCCTACCAGCGATGGAGCTGCAACTCGGAACAGAATCGAACTTGCAACCTTTCATACATTGGAAGACATCCAACCAACTGAGCCACACAGGCCAGAGCTTAAAAGAAGGTTCTTTATGTTTCTTTTCTCTGCTCTCTGCTTCATTCTGTGTTTCCCAGGCCACCAGGGCTCTGCTGTTCCCCTGTCTCTTCTCTAGTTCCCATTCTTCTTGGCCTTCCAGCGGGAGGTGCCCTTGGAAATGACCTGGCCAGTCCTCCTTTTAACAGAGGACCAGAATAATGAAGGGACTTGTTCCACGTCATACCTGGTTGGTGGAACGGCCAGCATTGGAAGCCAGTGCCCCCAACACCCAGTCCACAGCCAACTAGGCGTCTTCCTGTGATTTTGTAGCATTCAAGTCTACAATCTGCAGCAACTGGATTTATCCATCCTGATGAAACTCCATGGAGGAAGAAAGACCGGAGGCCAGCCTGGGCCTCCCGCTCTCTGCCTCCCGCCTGCATTGTTCCACGCTTGTCAAAGGCATTCTGCAAACAGGTATCTGTTGGGACCTTGTTCAGCAGCTGACAAAGGGAACATTTTACAGGGAAGTATCAACCCCTCGTCCCCACACACACCCTAAGAGAGGAAAAAAAAAGGAATTTGGCTTGTAACTTCAGGAAGGGGGATTGAGTTAGGTATCAGGAAGCTCTTTCTGCCTCAGAGAATAGCAAACAGTGGAAAGAGTAACCCAGGGAGAATGTGACATCTCCTTTCAAAAGCTGATCCTAGGTGGGTGGGGTGCTGCTTTGCCTGGGGACAGGGGGATGGCCAGGAGGGCACTGCGGGTCAGGGTCACAGACTGGCTCCCGAGAGGGGAGGCGCCCCGCGGTGCCGGGTGGCTTTTACCTAAATGTTTGGGTGGCGAGCGGCGAGGGGGCGGTGCACTGCCCTAGGTAATGACAGGCCAGTCTGGCAGCCACGCGGGGGCTGCCCGTCGCGGTCGCGGCTACAAAGACGGCCTGGAGACCTGGCGCTGCCCGCGCTTGGGGACCACCCCACC